ATGCTGCGCTAATACTGAAGACTAACTCCTCGCTACTAACCTTTCTACTGAGGCTGGTACCCAGCCTTTTGTAGTGCTGGGCCGGCCTCCTACCTGCTGGTACCTACCGGCCTGGACCGTTGATCTGATCAACGGTCCAGTTTTAAAACTGGACTTGGCGCCTAAACGCGGCAGCCTCTGCAGCGCCGCCGGTAGGTCCTATGCTGGACCGGTACCGGCCTTGTGGCCGTTGGCCTGGGCCTCTACCCCTGGCCTGCCTGAACCGCCGTTGTCCTGGCCTATCTGGGCCTCATCTGAACCGTCGTCCCCTTAGGCCTACCCTGCCTATCTGGAACCGGGCCCTAACTGGGGCCCGTGTGGCTCAGAATGCCACACACTCCCCCCCTTGAAGACCAAGCTAACTGCAAGGGCGAAGCTGTCTGTCAGATGTCTGTACGGGGTGGGCAGGTTGGGCAGCTTCCTTAGCAAGTCGCTGTTTTTCGTAATGGGCGAAGATGAGGGGTGATGTCGCCTTCAGGTCAGCTCATGAAATCCAGCGTGTGTCGTCGAGATCGCATTGCTTGAATGTAACTTTATACTGCATTGGCTTGTCGCCGTGCTTGCGATGAGCGAGGACGGGGTCGACCTCTTGATGACCATCCATTGAAGGAGGGTCCTGTGACCATCTGCCCGGGAAGTCCGCTGCGGAGGCTGGAGTGTAGACCGGCAGCTTTGAAGCGTGAAATATCGGGTGGACCATCAAATGCGGGGGAAGCTCGATGATGAAAGATGGACCCGCGGGGTCGTCGCCAGCTGCTGAAGTGACCTTCCATGGTCCAAACCACTTAGGGAGGAGCTTGCGCGAGACGTGCTGCTCGAGCGGGAATTCCTCGGAGGTGACCCAAACCAGGTCGCCAGCGCTTATTGGACATGGGATGCGACGTCGGTTCGCTTGCTGCTGCATACGGACCTAAGCCTTTTGCATGTTTGCACGGGTTGTGGCCACCAGTTCCCTGTACTTCGGTGTAGAAGCGGGGGAGCAAGTGGCGTCAATATCGACAGCCCGTGGAAGCAAAATGTCTGCGAAGATACGTCCTTTCCGTCCACTATGATGCAACTCGAATGGAGTCACGCCAATCGCCGGGTGCACCAAAGTGTTGTAGGCGAACTCGATGTCGGGAAGGTGGTCAACCCAATCCTTCTCATCCGGGTGGATGAGTGTGCGGAGCATCATCTGCGCAGTCTGGTGCGCACGTTCTGTTTGCCCATCCGTTTGAGGATGCCGTGTGGAACTCGGTTTCATGCTGGTGCCGGATTCCACCATGACTGCCGTCCAAAAGGCTGACATGAAACGAGTGTCGCGGTTGCTGACGATGTCTTCCGAAACGCCGTGGCTGCAAAACCAGCCGGTATGCAAAAGTCGTGCGAGCTCGGGAGCCGTCGCATGATACTTGCATGGAAGAAATCGAGCGTACTTGCTCAAACGGTCAACGACCGTGAGAATACCGTCATGGCCAAGGCGATCGCGAGGGAAAGGGCCGGTCACATCCGTAGCAATGGAGAGACCTGGTTCCTGAGGAATCGACAATGGTTTCCGTTCGTCATACAGGAGCTGATGAAGCCCTTTGTTCCGGTGGTAAACTGCACATGACTGAATGTACCGATTGACGTCGCTGATGATGTCCGGCCAGTGAAATCGTTGGCGGAGTCGTGCAAGCGTGCGTGCGACGCCCAGGTGTCCCGCCAGCCGCGAATCGTGGTATTCACCAAGGAGGCGAGTGCGCAAGACGCGGTCTTGGGGAACACACAACAAGTCCTTGCCTCGTGTATGGAGGAGCAAGTAGCCGTCGACAATGCGATTGCTTGTCGACGGGTGATCCAATGATAAGTCCGCATAGAGTGCGGAAAATCCCGGATCCGACTTGTAGCCGTTTACGAAATGTTGTTGCAGGTCCTCGTCGAGGCCGAATGTGGAATGCACCAAGGCGCAAAGATCAGGTTTTCGCGAGAGAGCATCCGCTGCCTTGTTCAAGGAGCCTGATATATGTTTGGAGGTGAAGTCAAACTGGTCAATGAAGTACATCCACCGACCGATCGTGCTGCTCACCGTGTCTTGCGTCTTGTAATAAGTCAACGGATTGTTGTCCGTTGCCCACGTGAATCGTCGGCGCCCGAGGAGGAAGTGACGCCAACGCTTAAGTACGGTGACGAAAGCTAGCAGTTCCTTCTTCCTCGCATCATCAAGTGTATTGATGGGCGGCACCTTTTGGCTGAAGTACTCAAACGGATACCAGTCTGTGTCGTCATGCTGTTCCAAAACCGCGCCAATGTCGTAGCCGGAAGCGTCTGTAGTCACTTTGGTAGGCAAGGTCGGGTCATAGATACTCAAGACGGGAGCTTGGAGCACGGTCGTCTTCAGCGTATGGAACACGTGCCGGGCTTCGTCATTGAACTCGAAGGGCACCAAGGGGGACTGAAGTCGCGACAATGGTGCAGCGATCCGTTGAAACCCTTTGACGAAGCGCATGCAATATGATGCTAAGCCAAGAAAGGAGCAGACGTCGGTAGTACACTTGAGGTCCGGCCAATCTTGAATGGCTTGTACTTTGTCCGCGAGCGGACGAATCTTGTGGCATAACGTAATGGCCTAAGTACTCCAGCTCTTGCTGGGCAAACTCGCACTTGTCACGGTTCGCTTTGTACTTGGCGATACGGAGCCGCTCCAAAACGGCGCGAAGGTGCTCGAGGTGCTAGTCCAGCGTCCGGCTATAAACCAAGATATCATCAAGGTAAATGACTACGGTGTGGTCGAGCAGGTCGCGGAATTCCGTCGTCATTGCCGCTTGGAAAGTAGCCAGGGCATTAGTGAGACCGAAAGGCATGACGAACCACTCGGGGTGCCCGTGCCGCGTCTTGTATGCGGTTTTGTACCAATCTCTTGGCTGGATCTCGATCTGGTGATATCCGGACTTGGGGTCAAGCTTCGAGAAGTACTTGGCGCCACCTAGTCGCTCGAGAAGGTCATCGATCCAAGGGAGAGGGCCGACGTTCTTGATTGTTTGCCCGTTAAGTTTCCGATAGTCGATGCACAAACGAAGGTCCTTGTTCTTCTTCCAGACGAAGAGAACGGGAGCACCGTATGGCGAACAGCTAGGGCGAATCCAGCCCTTGGCCAAGAGGTCATCTAGTTGTGCTCGAAGCACTTGAAGCTCCTCTTCTCTCATGCGGTAGATACATCCGCACGGAGGTACAACGCCGTCCTCGAGAGTGATCCCATGGCGTGTGGGCTGGTCCGGTACTACTCCAGCGGGAGCTTGGAAGACATCCTCATAGCTGTCGAACAACTCAATGATGCGTGGGTCCGACGTATCCGTCTTGGGCTGATCACCGGGTGGGAGGGCGTGGAGAAAACATATGCCCATCTCCTCGATGTCGCTCCGCCGAATGCATTGGCGAATGCTCACCGCGGAGACCACATGACAACCAATCGAAGGATGAGGAAGCGACACCGTACACGGGACTAATTCGCCACGCCGATCACGAACGTGAACGGTGCGTCGATAGAAGTTCACTGGATGGTCTTCGCTTTGCAGCCACGACATGCCTAAGATCATATCAAACTAAGTGTCCAATATGTCGAATGACACGGCCTTGCATGCTAGCGGGGCAAAGTACACGGGCACCAAGTCAACGCATCGGTCGACTGACTTTTGTGTGTGACCATCGGCCAACGTGACGTGCGTGGGCTGACTTTTCCTTCGAACGCGCGGGCCAAGCCCGGCGCGTGCCATGAAGTCTTGGCTGATGTAGTTGCGAGACGCTCCACAATCGATCAAGGCACTGCAGGTCGCCTTTCTGATCTGAATGCGGATGTAGAGGAGCGGCGCGTCGATGTCGACGTACCGTTGTATTGCATGCTCGCGGTCGATCTTCGCAAGATAGTTACGAAGGTCAACTACTGCTACTCCACTGTCCGTCGACGGAGGTGGTACTGCAGCGTGCAAGTATTCGCGCAAATGTGTCATTAAGGCGTTGCAATGCGGAGTTGGCAAAAAAACGGTGGAGGGAAGAGGCAACCATTGGAAGTCCTCAACCGTCAACGGGTCGAGTTCCTCAAGACTCGCCCAAAGTGACGGATCCTCCGATAGAAGGGCTGGTGAAGCAACCGGTTCGTTGTCCGACAGCGGAACTACCGCGCATGCGCTTGAATCTTGCACGCGAAGAGGCTTTTTCAACGGTGGGACCAACTCGACAGCATAGTTTTCAAAATCGATATGAGAACTTGCGACTACCGCGTCATCCCCGGATGTGAGAGAGACTGCTAGCGAGGCAGCCGGCTCCGACGGATTGGGAAGTGATGTCGCTGCACTTCCCGCGGTGCTCAGTTTCCCGAGCTTGGACGCTTGACATTTTCCTTGTCCTTGTCGAGGCATGCGCTGGTGATGTGTTTGGTGTTGTTGCACCAAAAACAGCATCCCCATTTCTGTCGCAACTTGAACATGTCTTCGATAATGCTGAACTTTGTCCATGGTGCCTGTCGTGCTCCATCCGCTGACGCTGGTTTCACCTTTTGTTTTCCCCTTCGGGGTCTTGAGCGTTCTGGTGGTATCACTGCCGCCACATCTCCGTCACTTGATGTAGACGCGGCTGCGTGGTCCTCACTAGGTCCTTGCTGGACTGCTGCTACTTGTGGCGTCCGCTGACCTTTGCCTTTCTCGACATAACCAGGCTGTTGGCGGGTTTCATTGGCCGCACGCCGGTTACCTTGTATGAGCTCCCTTGCCTTTTAGATCATGTCATCAAAGGTCTCATACTAGAATTCGCTGCCCAGAGGAGCTGTCAAGGCGTCGCATGACCGAGCGAAGAATTCAACCTGGATTGCGTCGAACGGTAAGTTCAACTCCGGGGTGGCGTCTTTGCCACTCCGTCAGCCACTCCCGTGAAGGTTGCTGGCCTTGAAACATGCAGAAGATCTTGTTCAAGGCGTGACGCTTGTCGCTGTTGACCATGAACCGGGTCTTCCATCTCTTCTCGAATTCCTCCACGTAATCTTGGAGTGGAGGGTGGCGATGGTGCATTCCAATGTGACCGCCAGGTGCATCATGAAGGCCTGCGCCCCTCCAATGAGTTGGAGGTAGAGTGCGTCAAGCCGCCGCAGTGGTGGGGTGTGGTGTATGTCCGCCTCTGCGTTGAATGCCATCCACCATTGCAGCGGATCAGTCTTGTGGTAGTCGTCGAACTTCTCGATCTTGAAGTTTGACATCTTCCATTCCTTGGCGATGACGGCCGGTCGTTGCTGAATGAGGTTGCTGAGCGTCTGCAGCTGATTGCTGACTGTCGATGCTCCAGCAAACTTGCTGATGTTGCCGAGGGCTGCGACCACGTGGTTGATCTGCGCTTCGAGTTGCTTGGCCTGTGCGGCCAAGGCTGGGCTGCAGTCTGCCACTGCGCTGCCCGTCGACGCAGCTGCCGACAGCCGTGCCAACCCTGTGCTGACATCGTTCTGCAGCTGGCCGTTGATTGTCTGCTGCTGGCTGTTGGCGGCATGTAGTGTGCTGACCTCGGCCTGCAGGGTAGCGATCTTCTTGTCGAATGCTTTAAACGTTGTTTCGTGGTGGATGAAGACCTGCCGCATGGCCAGCAGTTCACGTTGCTGCCAATTGCACGTGTACAAAAGATTCTCCATCAAAACTGTTGTGGCTTCCTTGTTTCTCTCTTCCTTGGTCGGCTCCTCTTGTTCTTCGTTTGCTCGAAAGTGCTGCTGTCCGAGTATCCTCCAATACGTGGTTTCTTCGTTGGCGAGCTCTATTGTAGCTTGATAACGAACTTGGTTTTGGCTTGCCTCGGCCTGCTGCTGTTGCAACCGTGCAGCTGCTGCAGCTTCTGCTGCGGCCTACTGACGTGCTGCCTCTGCCTCTGCCAGCTGGCGTTAAATTTCCTGCTGGCGGGCGGCTTCCTCCTCTTCCCACTTGCTCAGTTCAGCTGCAGTCGTCTCCGAGTAGAGCTGGAGATATTTGAGAAACGCTAGTAGCGTTTCATCAGTCTGCTGAACTGGGATAGGAGGGGTAACCGGCCTCTTGGGGCTGGCTTGTGCATTTACGTCAGCGGTAGCAGCCATGGTCGTGCGTCGCCTGCGTGGGATCCGAGGTGTCTTAGGTCCCTGTTGGGGCTTGGTTCCTGCGGATCCGCGCTCCACAAGTCATTGACTGCGGCGCATTAAGTACTCTGGTCTTCGTCTGCTGCTGAGGTGGCACCTGCTGATGTGGCGCTGCTGAGGTGGCCGCTGCTGACTGGGCACTCGGCTGTCGTGGCACGCTGAGGTGGCACGCGACTGATGTGGCAATCCGCGTTCGTGGCCTGCTGCTGATGTGGCACAATGCTGACGTGGCCGGAGACTGACGTCCGTAGTACCGAGAGGAGGAGAGAGAGAAGGTAGGGGTGGAGGAAGGGCAGAGAGGCAAACAATGCACAGACAGTCCCTTTCTCCCCTGACCTCAAAATTTGACACTAATCAAAAAGAGAAAAGAAAACAAAAATTCCCCCCCCCACGAAAATTTCGAATTTTGAGAAATTAAATAAAATTTAATCGGAAAATGCGAATTAATAAAATTTAATTTTGGCAAAAGATTAAATATTTAATTAAAGACTATTTAAATTTGCAATAATTAATTTCACAAAAGTTAAAGATTTAATTAAAGAATATTTAAATTTGCACAAATAAAAATGAATAAAGTTGAAGCAAGTTTAAACATTTAAACATAACTTTAATAATTTCACGAAATTTAATCGGGAGAATTTAGCATCATCACGAGGTCACTAAGTACGTAGAAGATGAATGGTAGTAGGAAGATACACAATTTGCTGGAAAGATTAAACCTTTAAACGCAATAAAAGATGCGTTTTGCAAAAAGTGACAATTCCGTGAAGTTGCAGTTTGAATGTGGCCGTGCTCAGGCCCGATCTGCCTTAACTGGCGCGGTGCCTGGCTGACACTTACTTCCCATAGGTTTGATAGGCCGTTGAGATTAGGTTAGGACTAACCCTAATTAGCGCTAATTAGGTTACTCGTAATTAGCAATTCCCTAATTTGCGCAATATGGAGAAAAGTCGCAAAACCTAAAATTATAATTTAACGACCTAATTACTATTGCAAGGAACATGGATGTGGACGAAGCACAGAAATCCAAATTGCATAATCACACTGAAGTCCAAGTAGTCAAAGCAAGAGCAGATAGCACAATGGAACCGAGTAACCATCCATTTGAGAACAATACAGAAGAATCGTGAGTCAATGTCCAAGCCCAATTGGGCAACACCAACAGCATAACCCAATGTAGCTCTCTCTCTTGAATGGCGCCAGGCACCCTATCTACTCTGCAGCCTAGCACTACAACTACAGCATGGAAGCAACCAGACAACTTGACGACCAGCGAGTGATGACGTCAACACCAATGCCGACCTCCTCTCCCCGGACTCTCCCTTGTTATCCCACACAACGCCCTTCACTTCCCGAAGAACCACCTTCGCCCTCACCTCCCTCTGCGCCCACAGGCAGCCCAGCTATGGCTGCCAGCGCCCTGCACCCAGGCTGTGCCCTACCGCTTAGCGCCATCCTGCCTCACCTCAGCCTAGCGCAGCGCAGCACCTCGCAGTGCTTCAGCGTGCCAGCATTGCTCGCAATGGCCAAGATCCCAACCCACTCGCCCTCTCTGCCTATATGCCAGTGTTGCGTGTGGGCGGCCTCCCTTGAGCCTGCGCCTGGGCCCCAGTACCTGTACCCAGGCCCAATGCGGTTGGGGCCCACGAAATACAGTTGCGCCTCTTTCATCAAGGCCTGCGTCCAGATTCAGATAGTGGACCGGTTTCCCATTGGCATTTTCAGCCTCTATATCCAGCATGCAATGTCGGCCTCACGTTTATGTGCCCAAGGCCTAACAATTCTGGGCCCCTGGTCTTTCTGCATTTGCAGAGATCCGGTACTCGGTGCACTCCAACCAACTGGCGTGCAGCAACTGTATGGACCCCACTTCGTGAAATGTTTGAGGGCAATACCTTTCTCGGCCTTTTGGCTAAGATCAAGTGTAGTATCTGTTCTGATCAGTTTAATATCTGATCCGTGGTCCATCGGACCACACGATATTAAATTAATTTTTCTGAGCTTCGGAGGGGTCATATGGGTAGGCTTGCCTGCTCGATCCCTCCAGCGTTGCCTCATAAAAAGAAGAAAAAAGAAAAAAAAAGAAAGAAATGTTTGAGGGCTCAATCCTCACACTATGTAAGTACGAGAAAAAAGAAAAATTTGCAACTTGCGATTTAATGATAACAGGGTACAGGATCAATCAATCAATCAATCAATCAATCAATCAATCAATCAATCAATCAATCAATCAATCAATCAATCAATCAATCAATCAATCAATCAATCAATC